CTTCCAGGACTCAGCTGTTTCCTTGGCTGCACAGCGTGGACTAGAGACAGAGAGTACACATTCACCAAGCCCAACCCCTGCAGATATGAAGGAAGTGACCGAGTTGCCTGCTGCGCCTTAACCTGCTGGTGTTCAGCCAGTAAAGCGAAAGACGTCCATGGATAGTGGAAACACACCAATAGAGCAGGTCCTCTGGGCAGCCGCTGCTAACCCGAGGTTCTCAGACTGCCCTCCAGAGCACACGGACAAGATAGCAGAGTCCCCGGCACAGAACCGTTCGTTCATGCAGCGAATGGTTGTTGACAGGCGCCGGCATTTCATCCGTCAGATAAGGGGCCTAGCACATGATGAGCTAGTGGTTGGCTGCACAGCATGGATCAGAGAGTACACATCCACCAAGCCCAACCCCTGCAGATGTGAAGGAAGTGACCCAGCCCCCTGCTGCTCCCCGACATGTGCCTCGGCCTGCTGGTGTTCGGTCAGTAAAGTGAAAGAGGTCCATGGATGGTGGAAACACACCACTGGAGCAGGTCCTGAGAGCAGCCGCTGCTAACCCGAGGTTCTCAGACTGCCCTCCAGAGCACACGGACAAGATAGCAGAGTCCCTGGCACACAACCGTTCGTTCATGCAGCGAATGGTTGTTGACAGGCGCCGGCATTTCATCCGTCAGATAAGGGGCCTAGCACATGATGAGCTAGTAGTTGGCTGCACAGCATGGATCAGAGAGCACACATCCACCAAGCCCAACCCCTGCAGATGTGAAGGAAGTGACCCAACCCCCTGCTGCTCCCAGACATGTGCCTCGGCCTGCTGGTATTCGGCCAGTAAAGTGAAAGAGGTCCATGGATGCTGGAAACACACCAGTGGAGCAGGTCCTGAGAGCAGCCACTGCTAACCCGGGGTTCTCAGACTGCCCTCCAGAGCACACGGACAAGATAGCAGAGTCCCTGGCACACAACCGTTCGTTCATGCAGCGAATGGTTGTTGACAGGCGCCGGCATTTCATCCGTCAGATAAGGGGCCTAGCACATGATGAGCTAGTAGTTGGCTGCACAGCATGGATCAGAAAGTACACATCCACCAAGCCCAACCCCTGCAGATGTGAAGGAAGTGACCCAACCCCTGCTGATCCCCGACATGTGCATCGGCCTGCTGGTGTTCGGCCAGTAAAGTGAAAGAGGTCCATGGATGGTGGAAACACACCAGTGGAGCAGGTCCTGAGAGCAGCCGCTGCTAACCCGAGGTTCTCAGACTGCCCTCCAGAGCACACGGACAAGATAACAGAGTCCCTGGCACACAACCGTTCGTTCATGCAGCGAATGGTTGTTGACAGGCGCCGGCATTTCATCCGTCAGTTAAGGGGCCTAGCACATGATAAGCTAGTAGTTGGCTGCACAGCATGGATCAGAGAGTACACATTCACCAAGCCCAACCCCTGCAGATGTGAAGGAAGTGACCGAGCCCCCTGCTGCTCCCCGACATGTGCCTCAGCCTGCTGGTGTTCGGCCAGTAAAGTGAAAGAGGTCCATGGATGGTGGAAACACACCAGTGGAGCAGGTCCTGAGACCAGCCGCTGCTAACCCGAGGTTCTCAGACTGCCCTCCAGAGCACACGGACAAGATAGCAGAGTCCCTGGCACACAACCGTTCGTTCATGCAGCGAATGGTTGTTGACAGGCGCCGGCATTTCATCCGTCAGATAAGGGGCCTAGCACATGATGAGCTAGTAGTTGGCTGCACAGCATGGATCAGAGAGTACACATCCACCAAGCCCAACCCCTGCGGATGTGAAGGAAGTGACCCAGCCCCCTGCTGCTCCCCGACATGTGCCTCGGCCTGCTGGTGTTCGGCCAGTAAAGTGAAAGAGGTCGATGGATGGTGGAAACACACCAGTGGAGCAGGTCCTGAGAGCAGCCGCTGCTAACCCGAGGTTCTCAGACTGCCCTCCAGAGCACACGGACAAGATAGCAGAGTCCCTGGCACACAACCGTTCGTTCATGCAGCGAATGGTTGTTGACAGGCGCCGGCCTTTCATCCGTCAGATAAGGGACCTAGCACATGATGAGCTAGTAGTTGGCTGCACAGCATGGATCAGAGAGTACACATCCACCAAGCCCAACCCCTGCAGATGTGAAGGAAGTGACCGAGCCCCTGCTGCTCCCCGACATGTGCCTCGGCCTGCTGGTGTTCGGCCAGTAAAGTGAAAGAGGTCCATGGACGGTGGAAACACACCAGTGGAGCAGGTCCTGAGAGCAGCCACTGCTAACCCGAGGTTTTCAGACTGCCATCCAGAGCACACGGACAAGATAGCAGAGTCCGTGGCACAAATTTGTTTGTTCATACAGCAAATGGTTGTTCACAGGCGCCGGCCTTTCATGCGTCAGATAAGGGACCTAGCACATGATGAGCCAGTAGTTGGCTGCACAGCATGGACCAGAGAGTACACATCCACCAAGCCCAACCCCTGCAGATGAGAAGGAAGTGACCGAGCCCCCTGCTGCTCCCCGACATGTGCCTCGGCCTGCTGGTGTCCGGCCAGTAAAGTGAAAGAGGTCCATGGATGGTGGAAACACACCAGTGGAGCAGGTCCTGAGAGCAGCCACTGCTAACCCGAGGTTTTCAGACTGCCATCCAGAGCACACGGACAATTAAGATAGCAGAGTCCGTGGCACAAATTTGTTAGTTCATGCAGCAAATGGTTGTTCACAGGTGCCGGCCTTTCATCCGTCAGATAAGGGACCTAGCACATGATGAGCTAGTAGTTGGCTGCACAGCATGGACCAGAGAGTACACATCCACCAAGCCCAACCCCTGCAGATGTGAAGGAAGTGACCCAGCCCCCTGCTACGCCCCGACATGTGCCTTGGCCTGCTGGTGTTTAGTCAGTTAAGCGAAAGAGGTCCATGGACAGTGGAAACACACAAGCAGAGGAGGTCCTGAGAGCAGCCACTGCTAACCCAAGGTTTTCAGACTGCCATCCAGAGCACACGGACAAGATAGCAGAGTCCCTGGCACAGAACCGTTCGTTCATGCAGCGAATGGTTGTTCACAGGCGCCGGCCTTTGATCCGTCAAATAAGGGACCTAGCACATGATGAGGTAGTAGTTGGCTGCACAGTGTGGACCAGAGAGTACACATCCAGCAAGCCCAACCCCTGCGGATGTGAAGGAAGTGACTGAGCCCCCTGTTGTGCCGCGACATGTGCCTCGGCCTGCTGGTGTTCGGCCGGTAAAGCGAAATAGGTCCATGGATGGTGGAAACACACCAGTGGAGCAGGTCCTGAGGGCAGCCGCTGCTAACCCGAGGTTATCAGACTGCCCTCCAGAGCACACGAAGGAGATAACACAGTCCCTGGCACACATTCATTTGTTCATGCAGCGAATGGGCAATCACAGGCACTTGCATTTCATCCGTCAGATAACGGGCCTAGCACACAATAAGGTAGTAGAGGAACGACAGCAGTAGGAGAACAGGGAAAGGGAGGACATGTAGAGGCAAGAGAGGGAGAAGCTGCATGAGGCTGAAATGGAGAGACAGGAAAGGGAAAAGCAGGAGGTGCAGGGAAAGGAGATGGAGGTCAGGCTAAGAGAGCAGTGGGATTCAGCTCATCAAGTAGACTTTACGGTAGAACCAGAGACTTATGACATCACTAATGACTGAGCATAGTGGGTGCCCCTACATTCCGTTCCACCGTAAGTCCGAGCATGGCAGATGCTATGCACCATCACAGGCAATGACGCGCTGCAATCGCGTCATGTGAATGTGTGCCACGCGCGCCGCCGCACGAAAACGGCAGGTCATGTGATATGGTCTCGGCGCCAGATTGGCTGCACCTGCTCATGTAGTCGGCCGTGCTCCGAATTGTGGTCGCACGAAGTATAGCTCAACACGTGGCCCTGATGTCACGCAGCTGCGGTGGCGCTGTTGACGGCACTGCGCATACGTAGAACCTTTACTTTACGCAAATCCTGTTTCTGCGCACACCCAGTGCCCACACCTGGTGTGGGCAAATGCGGGATTGTTTGTAAACAGCGTGTCGGTCTATAGGACATGAGGATCGATGGTTGTGTGCTCTCTTGGAGGGTGGGACATGGTCTTCCTCACCCTATATGCATTTTTTCTATTTGCACATTTATCTGTAACTGCTATCAAACTCATTAAACTGCCTGATCTACATGACTTGCCATCATGGCTACCTTTTCGCTAATTGCTGCTTTCTTCCGAGGCTTCACCTGTTTTCACTGTGCTTCTTGGTTTGGCCCGTTGCTGGAAAGCGTTAGGGGTCACCTTGATCATCACTGTCTCGAGCCAGATGGCTTGCTTGCTTTTCTAAATGCCTGTCTTGGTTGTGGGATCTGCTGGTGCTTGCAAATAAGTTAGGTTATGGTATATGTTTGTTATTAAGGTTTTATGGTCAAAGGCTATGATGCTGGTTCGAGACGAACATGATGTCAAGAGGTTTGGTTTTTGCTGGTGCTGTAAAGGTCTGCCAGTCTCCATGTGGTCGAACTGGAGTGTGTGTTTTTTTTCAAGTGGGAACTGGTACATTGGCAATTTGCATTTCAGCTTAAAACAAATGTGAGAAATTCTTCTTGCCTCCCTTTTATACCTTTAGTTCAATCAAATGGCCCAGTGCCCCACATGAACGTTTTTCCCTCAATGGCATAAAGACGGCCTAAATGCCTCCGCTCTAGGTCCATAAAAAAAATTTAGCGCCTTTATTTGTGAACTTTGTTTGAGGAAAGTGGTTTTTCTTTTTATATTCTATAAAAACATGTCCATCACCTAGGTGTCAGATTTTTAAACTTTTTTTTTTAACCCTTTCAAACGCTATGCACACAATTGTGTACACCAAGAAAACTGGCTTTTTTCAGCAAGCGGGTTCCATTCTGAGACATTTTGATGATTTTAACCGAATTATATACACTCGCTCTGGCAACTCTGTGTTTTGTGGCTCCATCTGCCGAATGCGGTGAGAAACATTGAAGAAAAAAGACGACATGGCAGCGAACGCATCTGCGACGGCAGGTAGGGATATTTTCATTTTTTTATTGCTAGTTCTTCCTTTCTTGGAGCCTAAATAAAATAACTACTCAATAACTCATTCTTTCAAAAGTACATTCTCTAAATTTAGACATCCGGAAGCTTCAAAACATTTCTCAGCGCCACAAATTGGGAATGGCCACAAACGTGTGCAAAGCGTCATGCTGGGACTGCATGCAGTTCGAGACTGAACCGCCGTGTTTTACCGTCTTTTTTCAGATATTCTTGCCGTGCCATGAACAATTTTCTACAAAAAGAAGTGTCATGAAACAACAAAACACTCTGCAGAGCAACTCCTGCAGATTATTGCTGCAGGGGAAGTTTCTGACGTCGGGGAAAGTGATGACGACGACGACGACGCTCTTGAAGAAGAAGGTGCCCGCGCAGAGCTTGCCCGTGATGTGTCTATTGATGCATCGGATGATGAAAACGTGCCGCAAAAGGATCCAGCTGAATATGACAGCGTTGCAGAGAACGTGAAAAAGAACATTTCGTGGAAGAAACAAAGTTTTCTTCCTCCATCTGACCTCCAGTTTACTGGGCCCACTGACGACCTTCCGGAGCTAGACGAGGCATACACGCCCTACACATACTTTTCTAGGTATGTGCCGGAATCAATTTTCGCATGCATTGCGAAATCCACGAACCTCTACAGTGTGCACACATCGCATGTCAACGTCAACACGACGCCCGACGAGATGAGGAAACTTTTCGGGATGCACATATTGATTGGAGTGGTGTCTCTGCCTCGTGTACGACTCTACTGGGACCGTCTGATGCGAGTACCAATGATGAGCGAAACAATGAGCGAGAAGAGATTCTTCAAACTAAGGAACAACCTTCATGCTACAGTTGATGAACCCAGCGACTGCCAAGACCGACTTTGGAAAGTGCGGCCTCTTTTGGACCAGATCAGAGCCCGCTGCTTGGAGCTGCAGCTGGAAGAAGAATGCTCAATCGACGAGCAAATGATACCATTCAAAGGTAACTTATCGATCAAGCAGTACGTGAAAGGGAAGCCGACACCATGGGGCACCAAGGTATTTGCACTCTGTGGAAGGAGTGGCATGTTCTACGATTTCGTTGTTTACCAGGGAGAAAATACCATTCCAAAAAGTCTCAAGAAGGACTATGGCCTTTGCTCAGGTGTGGTGCTCCATCTTGCAAAGCGAATCCCAACCGGCTGCAACTATCAGCTGTATTTTGACAATTACTTCACATCACTTCCCCTGCTACGTCAACTAAAAAGAGACAAGATCTTAGCTGCAGGAACTGCAAGAACCAACAGGCTCTGCAAGTGCCCACTTGCACCTGCGCAGATCACAAAGAAAAAACCCAGAGGATACTCTGAAGAGTTCGTCACGCAAGACAATATTGTTGTCGTCTGTTGGAAAGACAACAACACAGTTACAGTGGCGTCAAACTTCGTTGGTGTGGGGACGACAAGTCAGGTGGAGAGATGGGACAAGAAGACCCGTGAGCATGTTTCTGTCACCCAGCCTGAAGTCATTGCCAAATATAACAAGAGCATGGGTAGTGTTGATAAGCTGGATTTCCTTCTCAGCTTGTACCGAACCAAGATCAGGTAAAAAAAATGGACACTGAGAGCTATCTTTCATTTCGTTGACGTGGCAGCATTAGGAAGCTCAACATTTTAGTTTGAGTCGCTGCCGATAGATTGGGCTGCGTACTTTCCACGTTTTTTGTGCCTCACCGTATCTGTTTACCATAGCTGAACCAAGTCATCTTTACATGGCTCTGCCCTCGAAAACAAAATGCCTGGCAAGTACAAACTGTGCAACTTGCACCCGGTGAACCTGTCAAGAGTATTCTGAGCAGGTTTTGAGCTTCCAAATTACTCACAGATTTTAGTAGTATAGAACGCCAAAACTGAAGTCTTCTGAGTGACACCATAACTAGATCTAACAGCGCTCTTTAATAAGAGTTTGTGTTCTAGTTTATTAACACTTGTTTACCAAATTCTAGTGCAGGAAAACAAAAGAAACTGACAACTGAGGAAGCTCTCGATTTATATTTCAGTCTACCAGATGACGCTGATGACAGTGAAAATTAATGGGAAGAATCAGACAACAAAGCGCCGTCCGACCTTGACGCCGAAGAGAGCATCGAGGAGAAGCAAGTGACCCCAGGGACGCAAAAACCGAAAAGGCAAGCCCCGAAAAGACTTCACGGTCAGCCCCAAGAAGCGTCGCATCTCGACTGAAAAATCACTCACTGCAGAAGATGATGCAGTCGCCGAAGGAGTGTGGCCTTCACAACAAAGCCTTCACAGGGCAGCATGCCAGTGGACGCATTCCAACTTGATTTTTCTGAAGACGTTATCGGTCACATTACAGACCGGACCAACTTGTATGCAAGTCAAACGAGGAAAACAGACTGGGACCCCTATCACGCCCGAATAACTGAGAGCATACATCAGAATGCTCGTCCTTACGAGTACAGACCTCATGCACCATGTTCATCTTTATTGGAGTTTGGACAGCCAGTAAAACGTGAAGGAGATTTCGCAAGTGATTTCGTGCGAGAGATTCCAAAAAATAACAAACTGTCCGAATCTAAACGACAACACTTATGACAGCGGGGATGCGGAAGACAATGATCGCTGCTACAAAATGCGTCCACTGATTCATATGATGAAATAAAAGTTTGAAAGCGAGTGCCAACCATCATCCCATCTTGCCGTAGACGAGAGCATGATCCTTTTCAAAGGGAGATCAGCACTAGAGCATTCTGAAGCACAATTTTTTTCCAGAAATTTCAGGCTCGAAATGACATGCACGGTACAATTGGGCCTAATAAAAATCTGAAGTAAAAGTAAGTCTAAAAATATCGGCTAGGTGACGCATGCTACCACCCGCTACAAAGTGTGCAGCGCTTTCTTTCTTCCCATTTATCAGACACATAATCACGTATTCAGTCACATAATCACATACCACAATGTTCACTTTCGTATTGGCCAAGCGCCGTGCTGTCTCGTGTCACCGCAGGCTTGAGCAAAGCTGCTGCTGATGCGATCGTTGCAAGATGGAGAAACAGAAGCGATTTCATTACGAGGCATCATTCAAACAGAAAGTGATCATCCTTGCTGGAAAGGAAGGTAATCAAGCAGCGTCATGATCACTGGGCATCCCGGAAACGTGCGTGCAGGATTGGCGGAAGCAGAGAGGCAATATTTTCGCCTGCAAAGCCACGAGGAAATGCTTCAATGGCCCTCGACGGGGACAATTTCCAGAGCTGGAGGACTCCATTTCAGATTACATTAGGACCTGCGTCTGAAGCAACTACCCGTCTCTTCGGACGTCATCAAGGACAATTCTTTCGCACTTGCTACAGGTTACAAGATCCGCCGCTCTTGATTCCAAGCGAGTAGGAGCTGGATCACCAAGCTCATGCGGCAAAAAGGATTTTCGCTGCAACGAAAGACGAGCATTTGTCAGAAGCTCCAGAAACCTTATGAAGCGAAATTTGTCGTGTTCCAATGTTTTATGATCAAGCTTCGACAGTATTCGCAACTCCAGCGCGCCGCTCGCCCTCCCGCGGACGAACGGAGAACCAGAGGATCGGGGACGGCAGCGGCGGCGGCGGCGCGGAAATGGTGGCAGGGACTGTCGGCCTTGATGCGCGAAGCCGTTTTAACGAACAAAAGTGAGCGCGTTAAAAAAGGAATTCTTGTGCTCCGCCTTCCAACAGCGTTGCACGAAGGACCGGGATGTCTAATTTCATAAGGGACGTTTCGTGTATAACATACGCTGCGGATTTCTGGTCTTGCGCATGGCCGCCAGCTCAATCTGTGCTCAACGTGACGGAAGACGCTCCCGCTAATGATTAAGAACTCTATAGTACGGTCTACGAAAAGTCTTCTTTGCCATAAGTAGGAGAAAACTCGTCGCGCAACGGAATGTGTCGACCAATACAAATCGAGAATGGGTTCGCGTTTTAAGGCCGTTACAAGGAACATGCCCATTTATTCCAAGCACTTTAATAATACAGAATACCCGTACTTGCTTTCAGGTAATTACAAAGCAAATAAAGAAATGCACGAACCATTTTAAGTGCGCCTGTGTTAGCCAGCCGTTCGTGCCGAGAGCTTAGAACGCGCAGTTTTGGCCAGAGGGACTGCAATATTGAAAATAACACGGTACAAAAAATGTACGGTGTATTAAAATATTTATTTGTAATAGAGCAATAAATAAAACCCCTAAAACAGCCAATTATGTTTTTGTACTTTTTGATGCATACTTTAGCGGTTTAGTATCTGGTATTGCGCCGTCGTCAAGCCTCTCGTAAAAGTTGGGGCCGTCAGTTTGACATCAGTGGGCTGCACGGCGACCTGAAGTTTTGAGCTGCCGAATATGTGACAAGGGGTGTAAAAACTACAACATTTCTTTTTTAGAGTGATGAGCACGGCAAAGCTCCTGGCGCGCACATAAAATTGTGCTTCAAAGGCGCAGCGCGAGCTTGCGGTTGTAATGGTACACCGCACGGTAGCCTGCGGTAACAAAGTTTCTATCAATAACCATAGAGCAGTTTGATTACGTGTTACAATACACTAAAACCGAGACGGTGCGCAGCGAGTTGTGAGGCTGGGACGCGAAGACACCAATACAGTAACGCTGTTCTTCCGAAGCTTGACGGTCACCGTTCGCGGCTCTATTTTTAGAGAACTAATGGCCAGGCAAAGCGCAAACATATCTTCATCACCCTCAAAAATATTCTGCCACAAACAGTAACGTGGCCGGTGCCTAAAACACTCTCTCTCACCACAAAGCTTCGTAATTTGAGGTTTCTGCAACTTTTAAATAATAACATGCTCGTTTTCGTAACGTGCATCAGCATCTCCGTCACCTGTAATATGATTCCTCCCTAACCGCTTCACACTTGTGGACAAATAAAGCATTTTTAGCGCGCTGAACAGTGTCAGCGCAAGCAGGTGCACGGGATATCCTGGAGAATCTATCCCCGTCTCTTCCGCCATCTTGGAACTACCGCCCCGCCACCTATAGGGCGTTGGAGTTGCGAATAGGGGCCACATGATAGGACAGATCCGAAACGCAGACCTAACACCCACGTTTTTCGACATGCCTTCGAATTACACGGTCGAACAAGAGGAGCCAAGCAGGTAACGAAAAAAACTGATTACGGCGACGTTAGGATGCATGGCAGATGGGCGCAAGATGAACCCTTTTTTGATTTCCGAAAGGAAGACTTTGCCTGCCAATGTTAAGTTCCCAGAAAATGTCATTGTTCAGATGCACCCCAAAAGATGGATGGAAACTGACCTTCTGATCGATTGGATTGACACCGTACGGCGAAAGGGGGGTGGAGCCGACTTGAGAGTGCTTTCTATGCTGGTTCTAGACTTGTTCAGATGCCACATCAGCCAGCGTGTCAAGGACAAACTTGCAACATGCTTCCCCAACACTGGTGATCGTCCCCGGCGGGATGACGTCTCAACTGCAGCCACTGGACGTGTGCTTAAACAAACCAACGAAGGACTATGTGCGTGCAGCGTACGAGTGGCTCACTGCATACGAGCACACACTGACGCCAGCAGGAAGTTTGAAGAAAGCAACGCTCGACGACCTGGAGCAATGGGTACACGACGCCTGGAAAGCATTCCCGCGGGCGATGGTCGTACGTTCCTTTCAAAAGTGCGACCTTTTCAACGCCACTGACGGAACCGAGGGCGAGATTTTGAAACTTACGTCGGACTCCGACGGCGACTAGTGTGGTTGTTTTGTTAGTGCGTGTGGGTGGGTTTCATGTGTGTCTTTCACGGATGTGGTGTTCAGCACTCATTATTTTACCTGTGCGGTACAATCGGCATCAAATTATTCTTAAGACTATTCAGAGCTAAATTTACCTGCACGTTACAGTCGGTAGCGTGCTAGAATCGTGCAAACACGGTACATGCCAATGAAGCCAGAAATAAAGCGGGACTTCAAAGTCTGGTGCCTGGCGGACTCAAATGCTAGCTACCTTGTAGGTTTCAGTTGTACGAAGGAGAAAACTAAGATCGTCCAAAAAACAGAACGCTCTGGGAGCATATTGTGCTGTCTGTCTGAAGGAATTGTACCCCCTGGTAGTCAGCGTTTTTTTTTTTCTTTTTTTAGTTATACAAGTTTGCTTTAGCAGCTACGTGACGGCACAGACCTACCCGATGAGGCCAAGGTTGACAATATGAACAAAGGTGGCTACATCTGGCACAAGAAAAATGATGTCACGGCCTACCAATGGCGGGACAGTAAGAATGTTTGCCGAAGTCCAACCACCACGAACCAGACGGACGAGCAGGTGGATGTAGAGAGGATGACGGCAACTCGACAAAAACTACTCGTGAAGTATCCCATTGTTGTGGAAGACTACAATGCGTGGATAGGGGAAGTAGATCGTTTCGACCAAAAGCATAACGCTTACCCTTTAGAGCAGGGGTGGCCAGGCTGACCCGGCCTAAGAGCCGCAAACAAAACCACGAAACTTCCAAGAGCCGCATGGAAGAAGAAACGCATAGCTGCCAACTCTTCCGAATTTTTCGTAAAATGTACGAATTGGGACTAATTTTACGATTTTACGAATCTTGCTTTAAATCTTACGAAATATCTATATATTTTCTTTTTTTTGTTTTTTTTTGTTTCTGTAATTCCGTTGTTGGCGGTATCTTGCACCGCCACAAGAGGGCGATAGGTACCGTCCACAGCAGCGCCGTGGTTTTTACTATCCGTCTATCTGGTGGCCACGGATCGAAAACCAATCCAAAGCTCAAGCCTTTGTTCGTGTGTTTGGTGGTGCACAGGTGCACGTTGGTTCGGCGTGTTCAGACGTTGTTGGGCCTCGTTGTTTCGGCCAGTTTGCGGCGAGAAGTACGGCATCTGTGTTTGTTGCACGTGTAACTGTAGCATTCTCCTGGTCACTGTGGCTTCGCGGCGCAATGCCGAACTCGAAGCCTCAAAAGAGGTACTTTCAGGTGTTCCTGAACTGCTCACCTACACGTCGAAATTTCCGTGCTTCGTGCCGCCCAAAAAGCGAGAGAAGTTTGGATTGTGTAGCACGTGCACGTGTGATGTAAGTGTTTCGGACGCTGGCCAGGCTGACGTTATGCTGCACATCGCTTCGCGTAACCCCCTCCCTTCCCCCCCCCCCCCCCCCCCCCGCCGCCGCCGCCGCCGTGCCGCCGCGCGACTTTTACGAATTTGAAAGTCCACAGGTTGGCAGGTATGGAAAGGCAACAAAGGGAGGGAGGGGGGGGGGGACTTTTGTCCACAGCAAAAAATGAAATTCAAACTATTTTCTATCTATCCATGTCAAAAGCAGTTTGACTGTACGAGTAAGGTAGCAGTAGCACAAGACTACCAAATGGCTACCTGTCTCGATTTAAAACGTGTTCCATTTCTCTTTCTGGGGAAGTGCTCGTGTGACCGGGAGGGAGGCGGGGAAGTGTGTGTGTGTGGAGGGGGGGGGCAGTGGAGGAAAGCCGCGAGCCGCGCTTTAACAGGCGAAGAGCCGCATGCGGCTTGTGAGCGGCAGCTTGGCCACCCCTGCTCTAGAGAGAAGGTCGAAGAGGTGGTGGAGCCGCACTTCTACTTCATCCTAAATGCGGCTATTGTCAACGCCATCCTTCAGCACAGCTCCAGGGAAAGCAGTTTGTACCTGCAGTTTCATGTCCTTCTTGGGTGACAGCTCATCAAGCGCCAGAGTTTTTGGTAAAGCAGGCGCAGCCATTTCCTCCCCAATCGAGGAAAGAAAGACGGGCACACGATGACAGTGCATCTGGAGGTGTGCGATACAATCAAATGACCCACTCCAGGCACAGGTGCGCTGAAGACAACCGTGAAGTACCATGCGCACACCCCACAAAGTGCGACGTTCGCACGTGCGTTTCATGTTTCATGCCCTATTGTAACAATTTCCAACTGTTCTAACTGTGCCGAACTGCATCTAAATACCCAACAGTGGCAAACTGCCCGCTAAAGTGATTTTTTTTTTCTATTTTCGAGGTTGGAATAAAATATCCTCAGTTCACACATCTTTGTTTACCCCAAGGGGCCAGCGTAACCATATGGTCAGAGGCCATATTTCAAAAACTAAGAGCATGCGATGGGTGATTTCTTCTGTATCCGTGATTTAGGTGAAATAATTTTTAAAATATAAACGCAGCTCCACTGAAATAAAAAGAAAATAAAAAGAAACCAGTCTCTGATGGGCTAACACTTGAACTTGAGAGCTCTAGCTTATTTCCCCGGTCTTGTAATATTGTGGTCCTTTTTTGACTGGATACCGTAACATACCGAGCACGCATCAATGTCGCAACAAGTGCCCACCCCGTTTGAAACATTTGAAATATAAGCAAAGGCAATATCGAGTGCCCCCTACCCCCAGAAAACTTCCCATGCGTCAGCCGCTTCTCCGAGAAATTGGTACTGTGCGACCAAGCTTGACACGCGAGCACCAGCACAAAGCTTGCTTGACAAAGCAGCACAGCTGCTTTAGAACTTGGGGCTTCCACCAGACTCCTATACAGCTCCTACACCATTCGACCGGATCAAAACCGAAACCACTCTACAAAGTGACCCTTCGGCTTTTCTGCTCTTAGTCCCAACAAGTTTCTATCCCCCTTGTTTCATAGCTACCTAGAACTTTTGCATGGTCATACACTCTGCATTTTACAGTACAGTTGCGTGCATAAACTTGTCTTTTCCTTCTCTTATAATCAGACATTTTTAACTATATGTCTGTGTCTTGGTTGCCTTCTGACACTCCGTAAGCCACGAACAACATTGCAAGAAAGATCAGGACATCAACTCGCAAGATGATGAAACGCGATTCGTGAAGCGGCTATCTTGCCCAGAATGTCTCAAAAACCGAGTCTTTGAGAGAATGCCGCAGCTATGTCTTCTCTTGAGAGCAGTCTGGACGAAGGAAACAGCTGCATCACTCACCTTGCAGACATGCATCTAGCCTCCTCCTCCGCAGTACAGTCTCACCTCCTTCCGGACCTTGTCAGTAGGAATAGCAGACGCCATTCCCTCAGTACGCAACCGCACGAATCCAGCCGAGATCTGCAGGACACACCGGAAGAAATGTCCTCGTGAGCTTCTTCATAGTCAATAAGACCATGAAGGAACAAAGCAATGTTTCCCGTCCTAGACAGAACAATCTACCCTTAAATGACCAGCACTACTCGCAAAGCCTAAACTCAAATACAATGGTGGAACTGACAAGTGGTGATTTTGAGCAACTCTTGTAGCAGGAAACAACTGGTTTTGGAGAAGAGATTCCCACTTTTGAAGCAGAGAATTTCGAGCCTTCAAGTCAAAAAATTTAAAAACGGCAGTTGTTGGAGTGTTGAGAGACTATTTAAAGTGTCGTACCTACAGAGGACCTGGCCTCTACAGATATTTATTTATTGAACAATCGTACGTGGGTAATTTTGCAGACATTTCAATTAACCTATTAGGAGTACCGATGGCGTCTTCGGTCCGTGTTTGACGTAAAAAGATGTTTTTGGCTACTTTGCAGGGTTTGTATCAGGGTGACGTAATTGTTGCAAGTTCGACACCAAACAGACACTTTCGTGCTGAATGTGTCTCCTGGTCTCTGTTTTGTAGTAGTTAGGCATGTGCAAACACATTTTGGGTTCAAAGCAAAATTAAAGTGCAAAGTGGTTTTGGTCGAATATTTTTTTAATTGAATACTGAATAGTTGCTGTGCCTTTCTCTACTCCTTTCACTACTGTTACATCATGCTTAAACAAACATTTAGCTGAACCGGCAAAGGTTGTTCCTAAGCTTCTAATTGCCCACTTATGAGCTCTCTTAAATTTAATCTAGCTATATTTATAGACTGTGCCTTCAGAAAGTCCCATACTTACATCGGGATGACAAGTAAATGACAGATTTGACATAAAATTAGACCTATAAAGGAGCCCAGCCATAACTAATTAAGGATATTTATAAATATCCTCGCAAATACCTTCGATTTTGAATTAAAAAGGAAAAAACAAGCACAAATGTACGCAGGTTGTTACAACATTGCAGCCTAACACATACCCCTGCATAATAGCCACAGTTAAATTTCGAGAATTTTACTGTAATGTAAATATCAACAATCTCGTGTCCTTTCTTTTCTTTTTTTTTTTAATATACCAAGCACACGTGCGCATCACACCGCTTTTTTTTTTAGTTGTGTTTATAGCCTAAGCGTGCAACTGCGCTGCGGCGAAGCGAGTCGCAAGATTGCAGTGTCAGCTCTGCAGGTATTGCTTCTCCGCAGCGCACCGGTGCTCGAGGAAAAGCACACTCAAAGGGGCTAACCCACTCCGAACAACCTCTTGGGAAGTATGAACATTGCAGCTCATTTTGAATTGAATATCAAATAACATTGTATTTCAAACTACTATTCTAACATTTGAATATTTGTGCAACCCTACTCTTCGCACACAGTACTCAAACATCCGGAAAAAAAAAACACAGCTGTACTTTATTTTTAGTGGCCTCATCAACAATGCCACGTGCCACACTTTGTTTCCTTTTCGAGAACAGCTCCCTTTTGGCACAAACTGTGCACCAATGCAGGAGCAGCATGTAGCAGGTTATTTGTTCTGGCACAGGTTGAAGCAAGTGGTGCAGCAGTTCCCCTACTGCAAATACAAAGTGATTCAAGGAGATGCCAAGCTCTCTAAATCGACTGGAAAATTCGGTTTCTTAAGCTATCGCGCTACGACTTTGTGCAGCGTTGCCCACAGATGATGCATTTTCTTTGTAAAATTTGCGAAGAGCGAAATTACCTGAGGAAAAAGTAAAGAAAAGAAAAAGGCTTAGCTCCTAAGAAAATGCAGCGACGCCACCGGTCTTGAAACAACACGGCGCCGTTTCGCACGGGAGACAAGAGATGGTGCAACGAACGCCACCAACGAACGAGCATACGGCGCCGAGAGCCGGCGTTTTTACAGACAATCTTTTCGACTCAAAAGCGGCCCGCGTTGTGCAGGTGGCGACAGTCGCAGAAACAAAAACAGGTACGGTAACAACAAGGAAGTGCAGTTCCTTGTCTGCTAAAGACGCCGGCTCTCAGCGTCGTCGCGTCGTATGGTCGTTCGTTGGCGGCAGTTGGCATCGCGACCGCTTGTGCCATCTCTTGTCTCCCGTTCGAAACGGCGAAGTGTTGTTTGAAGACCGGTGGCTTCGCTGCGTTTCCATAAAAGCTAAGCCTTTTTCTTTCTTTACTTTTTACTCAAATAAATTCGCTCTTTGATAATTTAAAAAAAAAAAAAAGCAACATCTGTGGGCAACGCTGCACAAAGTAGTAGCGTGATAGGTTAAGAAACCAAATTTTGCAGCCGATTTAAAGAGCCTAGCGTCTCCTTGAATCACCATGTAGAAAAAGAGCATGTTGTTCACAAAGTTAATTAGCCTTTTCCTGAATTTCGCAGATTATAAAAACATACGGAAGGGTTTAGAAAACCACTGAGAAGCCACAAATAGCTGTCAGGTATGTTTCTTAATTAAAGGGCAGCTCCAGTTCATTTTCAACATTAAGAAAACAATGCAGTTCTCTTCATTATCGCCTAAAAAAAGCCACACGCCACATATTTCAAACGAATTCTGCCTAAAAATTGATAAAACTGGCAAACAAATTTTGAGGTGCCTGGAATTCCCAAAATCTGCTAATCCCAGCAAGCGAGGTGCGGGTAGCCAACAGCCCAGTCCATACAACCATGCCAGCGCAGCCCACCCTGCACTACCTACGTCATGCTCAGGAAAAGTTGTTTGCTTGTTTTGTACTTCTTCGAGCAAAGCAGATCGCTCATCATTGGCCACGCGATTTTTGGAATGCGCATACGCCACGAACGCTCATGTGCTCTCGTGCGAGAGGCAGTTGAGGCAGTTGAGGCATGTTTGAACTGACTTATATGTATAGTATATGTAAAGCCTTATATGGCATACTTCTACAAACCCGTCGCAACATATTTACGTGTGATTTACTGAACTTCACGTTCTACCAATGCTTTTAAAACAAGCCCATGGAAAAAGTAGTGCTTTTCTGCACTAAAGCACAAGCTGCAGCCATGGCAGTACAGGCGTCGTCGGGTGTAGCGGACGACCAATCATAGCAAACGACTTTTGCCTTTGCGTCGAGCTGCGCCCGGTTGCCTGGTACGCAACGTCGAAATTGTTACCGCGTGGTTAGAGCGTGTAGCTGATGACACAGCAGCAATGTCACCTGTTATGGGCAAGCTTTCGGTTTTGGTTTGTGGTAGACTTTAAATGAAGATTGCGCAAAAAATATTACACTTTTTCGAAAAGTAATTACATGGAACCGTTTCTTCCTAGCCCTGGATATATAATCAAGCATTAACTCAAATCTCTCGAAATTGACCAAGTTGCCCTTTAACCAGGTATAAGAATGTGTATATCAAATTATGTTGCTCCAGGAGTATGACAAATTTTCTAGCACATTTTTTTTCATATAAAAGTATTTAATAAACGATATAGAGGAAAGTTTTCATATGTGAACACCTGACAATTTCCAGGGCGCTGGGAGGAGGACTAGGGGGCTGTTGCTGCCACTTCGCAGGGATTCTACTGTTCTGTTACATAGTGCCACACAAGTCTGCCCAACACGACAATCTGGGGTTCTCGTGCACGTTGAAAACCAGTATCGTCCCGCAGAGGCAAAATATGGAGACGGGCTGAACATAGAGATGCACAGTCAGCCAGACAGGTGGGTGGCTAAACCACTGCTGCCCACTGGGGAGACCCCCGACTATA